TGCTGTGCTGTGTTGTGCTGTGTTGTGCTGTGTTGTGCTGTGCTGTGTTGTGCTGTCCTGTGTTGTGCTGTGCTGTGTTGTGCTGTGCTGTGCTGTGTTGTATTGTGCTGTGCTGTATTGTGCCGTGCTGTGTTGTGCTGTATAGTGCTGTGCTGTTACTACTGTGCATGTGCTATTGCTGTGTTGTGCTGTGCTGTGTATATGCGACTGTGTTTTTTGTGTGCTGTGCTCACCACGCCCTCCCACACGCAACGTCTCGTGTATTGTCCTCAGCACCAGCGGCATTTGTCTGGCCGCCCATAAGCCGACCATACCTGCTATGTCTACCTTAAATCTACATGCAGTCACTCTCGCTTGCCATCAGAAGTCTGAAGCTCCTGCAGTGTACTTGGTTTGGCCTTATGATGCTTGTATTTTTTTCCGTGGGCGTGTCGCCTAATTGAAAAGTGTTGCTTGAAATTGAGGGCAGGTGCTGAGGGTTGTCGGTTGAGGGTCGTTGGTTGAGGGCAGGTGCTGAGGGTCGTTGGTTGAGGGCAGGTGTTCAGGGTCGTTGGTCATTCATAGGAAAACGTCCGCTGGCCGCCGGCTGTTTCGGTCCAATTGCCACCCGACCGTTACACCTGTTGCTGCTGCTACTGCTACTGCTGCTGCTGTTGTTGGTGCTGTTGTTACTGCTGGTGTTGCGGCTGCGGTTATTGCTGCTGCTCCTGCTACTGCTGCTGTTGTTGCTGATGCTGTTGCCACTCTGCTTCTACTGCTGCTGCTGTTGTTGGTGCCGCTGCTGCTGCTGCTGCTGCTGTTGCTGTTGTTGCTGCTGCTATTGCTGTTGCTACTTTTGGTGTTGCGGCTGCGGTTAATTTGCTGCTGCCGTTTCTGCTCTGCTACTGCTGCTGCTGTTGCTGCTGCTACTGCTGCTGTTGTTGCTGTTGTTCATTGGTGTAATCGCCCTCTTTCTAACACAGGCTCCTTAATTTAGTGTCTATCTAACGAATTTCCCTTAGAAATAACAGTTACGTTGTAATAAAAGTCACTTTTATTTTGTGTGCAGGAACTACAAGAAGAAGTTGGCTCGTTGCTGCAGTTCCGTGATGCTGTGGCTGCAGCACTACCCTTAGTGCAGCATCCCTCATCATATCCATCTTCGCACCACCACCCTCATCACCATCCTATGATGGTCTCAAGTTCTGCATCGTCACCTTATCTGTTCCAACACCATCACCCTATGTCGTCTCCTCACCACATTTACCACCACCATCAGTGTCAGGATATTGGTGATGCCGTTCTCCACCACCCGAGTCACCACTATTCTTATCCACCCACCACTTCAACCGAGGTTGTGTCATCCCCCACCACCAAAAGCTACGTTGCAATTCATAATTCTAAAAATGATGGGACTGTTCCACCTGCTCAAGTATCCGCTACCACTGCCCCTAATGTCGGTGATGTGGTAAGTGGTGGTGGTGGAAGTGGTGGCGGTGCTACTAGTGGTGGAGGTGGTGTCAGTGATTCAGGATTCACCGACAAGAATTGGTGGTCTGGAAGTATGAGTGCGAAAACCTCGTCTAACGCCTCCTCTGGGACCGAAGAGGATAACTTACACATGGGTGGCAACATAGGACATTTAGGCATGGGTTCTGGGTCGAACCGTTTCCCAGGAGTACCTCCTGTAGGTGGTTACACCACAACAATGGGCATGGGCAGACAAGCACCTGTTGGCAGTTACCAGGCTCCGAATTTTTACTCCGAGACCGTACCTCATGTGGCTCAGATGTCGACGATGTTAGCTGGCATGACTGGCACCACGGATACCATAGCAACCACTGCTGCTCTAGGTACCGCTGGTACTACAGCTGCTGCTTCCTCTCCAAGTGGTAACATATCTGTTCTTGAAGATGAACTCTGGCAGTTACTGGATGTTATCCAACTTCAAGGAAGCAAATTACGGCTTGAACTGACCGAAGCGCAGAAACAGGCCAGAGTTCCAGAAGGGGAGTTCGACCCCGGAGGATTCTACCCACGCAGGATGGGAGGAAATATCCTGCCGTGTCGGTTATCTGATGGAGTCCAGTCTGACCCTAGTCATGTATGCGACCTTAATGTCCTCCAGCCTTTACCTGAAGATAGAGTTTGTGGAGATTCTGATCCTTTGTGGCCTTTATCCCTTCCGCCATACCACAATATTTCTAAGCCAAGCCAAGGAAGTAGACATCGGTACAGCCATCTTAGTGATTCTAGGTTCCCTTTCACAGCGGCAGATTTGGCCCAGTCTGGGACAGGAGTTCGCCATTCAAGTCCCGATTCTTCCCCCAGGCATCCAAACCACTCCTGGAATCACCACAGGAGTTACGTAAATCAAGCCACTAATCACCAATTAGTATCCAGCCTCGTTTCCCGAGCATCATTGGCTGAAAAAGAAGCCAACGAGTCTCAACAGCGACTGTCCGATCTGCATGCTTGTCTGAATCTCCTTTTAACCGAAAAACGTAAGCTAGAGAGAGAACTTTCCAGACGAACTGCCAATGAAAAGTGGTTTCTGGAAACTCACGGACATCCTCCAGAAGTGGCATCGGCAGCCGACCCGTTTTCATTTTATCGACACCACGAGTCATATCCTCCCATGCAGTATATTCCTTACAGACACTCACCATACGGTGTAATGCCTCCAAGAAGATTGCCATCTCAAGGTTTACCTTATCCACAAGTTCCTAACTCCAGTTATCATGTAGATCAGAATCCATTTAACTTACAGTCTCTTCCCCAGTCTCAGATGCAACAAAATCCACCAGTGAACACTCCCCTGTCATCCCCTCTGCGTGTACCATCTCAGACGCTACAGTTTGCTTTACCCAGGGTACGTAAGATACCCATACGCGATTCAAACAAGGTTCCGGGTGAGGAGTACCGAAAACAAAGCCGCAGTGCTAGTGCCGGCGATCGAAAACAAACAAAGAATTCTCGATCTATTGCCACTGATTCACCGAAAATTGATCCCAGTGGGTATACCGGGAGGAATGGTAATCCTGCTGATATTGAAAACGAGGAACGAAATTTCGATCCCAGCGACATGAACCAACCTGTCCTACCGATTTCGCGGCCACGGTCAAAGTCCATGTCGAATATGCGTTCTCCGAAAAATCACAAAAATTTCTCCGGCGTTCCAGAATTCAAATCTACATCTAAAGGAGCCTTTCCCAAGTACCACCTCGCACCAAGCGGCATGTTGTCATCGAAACCAACCAAGCCTGGGACTTTCAACCGAAATTCGGTTCCTGACGCTGCACAACTTGGCGCTTCTCCTCGAACCGCAGACCCCACTGCGGCCACTACCGCTCCGCGGTCATCTTCCCCGATCCCGGGAAATTCGGGTGCGATTCCTCGCACATACCCTGGGGGAACGTATCCCGGGTCCTCTGGTGAAGGTGTCCGGGGAATACAAAGTTTGCCGGCAGCTGTACGGGTCTCCCCGCAGGGGCGTGTGAGCGTCACCCCCAACCGAGGTCGCATCGCTGCCATTCTGCGCGAGCGCAACGTCCTGGAACTGCAGCGCCAGCTTCTGCACACCGTCATGGAAGCGGAGGTATTCAGTAGAAAAATTTTAGAAATGTAATTTATTTAATTTATAAAATTGCAAAAATTTAAGTGTAAAGTGGGAAACTCTGGAATCATCCAAGACCTTGGAACCGCACAGTGCCAATATGAGTTGAATTATATTCCAAATTGTGTAGTTAAGTAAAATAATTCTATCAACTCTTGCAAATATTACTAGTTATTGACGCATACAAACAATATTGAAGATGATGTTCAGTTACCTTTACTGTTACTTCCATTTCTGAGTTGACTGATAGTGTGTTAGTTTTGTATTAATTTAAAAGGCATTCAACATTGTACAACATTTTTGTGTACAACATTTTTCAATTAATATGCTGTCCATAGTTAACTTCTAGACTATATTCTTATTTTTTGGGTAGGCACCGATAATGTGTAAACTTTTCCTTAACACGATATAATGCCAACTTCCTCCGTGTCCAACAGGTTCTTCGTTGTCAAGTGAAAGTAATACAACAACAGCAACAGGAGGGGCAGAAGACACTCACCACCACCATCAGTGGTTCCTCATCCACAACCAGTTTCTCATCCACCACTACCACCACCATTACTACCGTTTCCTCATCCCCCACTTCTACCACCACCACCGTCGCAGCCTCCGTTTCTTCATCCACCTCTACCACCTGTCCTGTTTCTGTTACTACCACTAACACTAGTTCTTCCTCTACCACCACTCCGGTCATCCCCGGCACTAGTGGTCCTATGGTCAGCACCAATGAAAGTAGTAACATTACCCGCAATATCCCCGCAGAGGATGTTGTAGTTACCCAGAGTAACGCGACCTGTGATCCATTTATTAGTACTGAAAATGAACAATACTTTGATTCTAGCTATGGAAAGGCAGTTGTAACTGTAGATGGTACAGAAGATTCTTCAGTTTCAGATAGCAAAACAAGAACCTCGGGACTGAGAGGAGGTTCTTCAGTGGTTGAAGGTGTAAATAATGTAAATACAACTCATACCACCAACCCTCTCTATGACGGTTGTCACCATGTAGGTACTACCGCTAGTTCCAGTAGCAGTTGTAGTACCAATAAAGCCACAGATGAAGTCACTAGCCCAGATATAGTAACCAAAGAAAGCAAGAACTTTTGTACAGTTGACGTTGTCTACGAAAGTTGTGATTCCAAAACGGCTGTATCCAAAGTAGTAGAAAAGGTAGACGCTATTGAAAAGTTACGTCGTAGATTGTCCCGGGCGACAGACGTTGATACGTTCCTGAGTAGCACCTCTACAACAGAGGTAGGTTCAACGGGTTCAACACCATTAACAACTGGTTGTGATAGATTGTTAGGGAAGTGTACCGCTGTAGGTAAACAAAAAGACGGTTCTTTAGAAGACAATGCCGGTACCGATAGACCTGATGATAGAGATGAAGTACCAACTTTCAAGGTACACAAGGGCCCGAATGTCAAGTACCACGTTATGGTTCATAAAGACAGTGATGACAGTCTCAGTATCAGTAAAAATGGCACTCCTCGTAGTGGTTCTTTCAACGCCAGACCAAAATCAGGAGTCTCCAGAAACCGTGGCATTACGAGCTCTGCAACTAGTAGAGAACGAAAAACTAGTGACGGTAGCAATGGTAGTGGCAGTTACGGCAGCAGTGGTGGTAGCGGGAGCATTTGCGGTGTAGGTACTAAGGTTCTTGGTAATGACACTGTGATGGGTAGATCTGTGAAATCTGAAGTACTATCTGTAAGAGAACGACTTGATTCTAACTATAACTATGCTGCGAATGGCAGTGATGCTCTATGTCAAAGTGACAATCTTCGAGACTTAAGTAATGATAAAGCAGTAGATAAAAGTATTAATGAGGGTAAAACTTCCAGAAGTAGTACGATTAGAGCCATACTCAACCGACAAAGTTACACGAGACCTGACGATGGTGGTTCCAATCCAGAAAACGACTCCAAAGCTGGTCGGGTGGTCGCGTCTTCTTCCTTTAGATCCAAACCCTACCGAAGTACATTGGGAAACACTAATAGGTCATCTAGTTCCCCAATCTCGCGGGCGTCGGAGAAAAGTGGTAGTGATTGCCAATCTGCCAATCCCATCTGTCCATCGTCATCTCTAGTAGCAAAGATCATGAACTCCAGAATATCGTCAATGAAGCAGTCTAATTCTGACGGCCTTGACAACGCCAAGCTGCAGTCTTCAAGTACTGAAACTCCAAAACTAGATAATCCAAATTGCATATTAGAAAATTCACTAATTAGTGAAGGATCAAAATCTGAAACTTCAGTCAAGGCTGAGAACAAATTCAGTTCCTCGCACCACGTCACCAACTACCGTAAAATGAGCGTGGCTATTGAAAAACCACCTCGAAAGAGCAGGACATTAGCTGGAGTCACCTCTTCGTCCAACGTAAAGGGCTCTTCCCTCAGCAGCAAGTACTTTATGACGTCCCCAGCGGGTTCTGTGAGCGGACCATCAGAGAACGGCCTGCCACCTGCACCAGAAGCTCTTGCAGTAGATGGCCGCCAAAACTTTGATGTAAGTCCCCTTCCTAACTGTCTGATCTCTTCTTCTTGCCTAACCAAACCCTCTGATGGCCGAACCAGGTGGTACCGTGGCTCAACCTCTTCTTCAGTCCAGGACTCTGCCACTGCCTATTCTGGCGATGTTGATGTAACCAATAAGTATTCAAGATATAACTCGTCTGTGTTGCGTGTGTGTTCGGACAACGTTAATGTCATTAACACTTCTGTGTTCAACTCTCAAAGTGCTAACGCCGCTGCAAAGGACGAAAAAACCTCTAACCTTCAGGTGAAACCTGACACTTCCGCAGCTAACCTTGACACACTTAACCGTCCCAACAACTGTACCATTTCTATTTCTAGTAATACGAATGTGTTTTTGGATTCTGTTTGCAATAACATTGGTACCATAGTAGGTTCAACTAACCTCAACACTAACAGTGATGTCGGTCCAGGTCCTAATTCTAGTTCGAGTAACGGCCTTGAACAGCCTAATCTTACCTCGGGTTCTATCACTAACCCCATAACTTGTGGATCTTCAGTAAACAGCATCAGTAATGTAGCTTTAACCTCTGCTTTAACATCTTCACAATCAGGTGGCAACCCCCAAACCTCAATGATATCATCATCATCTTTTAAATCCTTGAGTAGTTCAAGCGCTGACACCAAAAACTCTGTTACAAAACCATTCACAACCTCGAAAAATACAAACGATGAGATGAGTAAAGAAAATATTAAAACCACGCGTCGTGTTGGAGGACATTTTAGTAAACCTAGCAAAGATTCCCCTAATTCCATAGGTAACAACAGCCGCGAATCAAGTCTGTCTAAATCTTCATGGGGGGAACGCAAAAGTTTGAATTCCCGCACCAGATCCCCGGTTAATGCTAGGAACAAGTCACCTAACCACCCACTGACTAAGAAACCTGTCACTAGTGACAAGTCAGGCACTAGTGCCTCTAAGTATCAGGTCACTGGACGAACTGGTGGTGTTTCTGTCACTAACCAGACTAAGATACTAGCCACTAGTAACGTGTCACTGACCTCACCTGGGCTAGTTAGCTCGACCACTGACAGCACTAGGACTGCTATTGCTGCCGCTAGTGCAACTAGCGGTAAAACTAGGATCAGTGCCTTACTTAGGTGGTTCAACTAGTTCTCGCTTATCTTGATAGACGCATTTTAATGCAAATGAATATACAGATTGATATGAATTATAAAATATATTTCGGTATCACGTTCATCTAGTGGAATAAAACTATTAGACTATGTTGAATAGTTCAATTACTAAGCTTTATAGACGCATTTTATAGCAGATGAGCTGAATAAATAGACATAATGATCTGAAATATAGAATATGATGTTTCAGTTCACGATTTATCTATTTGGAATAACACTATTAGACTATGTTACGGGGCTCTTTACCTAATGCTTGATTATATATGACTGACTTGAAGTTAAATATTTAGCATTTATCTTTTATGTATACCCAACTTTATATATAAAATACTTAACCTTACATGTTACGTGTCATTTTTTAACCTTATTTTGGTCATGGCTTCATGAAATGTATAGTTGAGTTGTATTTTCAAGGACATTACAACCAAGTTTTTTTTGTATGAGAAGCTCAATGTTTATTATTTATTTGAACTGCTTTTCAAATCTATTTTATAACCCACTAGATTGAGCAATGGTTCTTATATAATAGATTCATTACATATTGATTTTTTATATAAAAGAATGTATTGAGCTATACTCCCCATATATATAACATTTGAGTCTAAAGTCCATATATTATACCTATGCCCATTTAAACCCATATATTATATCTATGGGCAAGCTTCATTTATATTAATATTGATCACATTCACTTTAATTATCTTAATGAATGTAGAATCAATTATGTTGAAATTTATCAGTCTTGTGTAGTTCATTATCATTTTTATATCCGAAACATAAAAGTCTATGTTGAATTTTAATTATTTTTGTTATATTATTTAGTTTCATTTTGAACACCTACCTCATAAAATAATATTTATTTATGAGAATCTCATTTGGAGTGTAATCACACCCCTCATATTCCCTCCCTCACAACCACCCCTCATATTCCCTCCCTCACAACCACCCCTCATATTCCCTCCCTCACAACGCTATTTATTTATATATAAGTTCATATTTAAATGAGCCAATCAGAACGTTTGTTTCATGCGGCCCTCGGCGCGCGACCAATCAACGCTGTGAGTTTCTTTTAATTTTGTTTTGTTTGCACAAAAAATGAAACACAAAATTTTGCACAATTTGCACAAAATTGAAGTTAATTTGCTTGGTATCTGAAAAATACACTTTTTGGTATAATTGGATTTATATAATATAAATAATATATTATTGATATATACCTACACTTTACGGTATATCTGCACCTAAGCTACAAATTAAATCACTTCTTACTTTATCTTTTGGTTTCTGGTTGCACTTTTTATTTCAAGGGAAATAAATTTTGTTTTTAATACATAATATTGTTTTTAAACTTTATTTTAAATAAATAAATGTATTTTTTATTCTTCAAAATTTCCATTTCTTATTTGATCCACTTTTTTGCACCACGTATTCATTTATTTTTCTTCTATTTATTTATTATTATTATTATTTTTAATGCTTATTTAATGCTTCTTCTTCTTCTTCCTGCAGTCAATAAAATCACCGGGTCAGTGTGTCCAAATTTTGAAACACTTTCTCCCCATAGCACTGATACACTTTTTTGCTGGGCAGAACTGTGTCAGGATGACCCATGCAAGCGCAGAAAATGCCTCGATATTGGGACAAAATTTAATTCATTGTTCTGTGTGTGGAGTTTTTGGATTTCCTGTATAGTTTGAATAAAAAATCCTGAATATTTGAATGAATTCTGAATATTTGTATGGCTTGATGGTGGCACTATGGCTTGATGGTGGCATTATGGCTTGATGGTGGCACTATGGCTTGATGTTGGCACTATGGCTTGATGGTGGCACTATGGCTTGATGGTGGCACTATGGCTTGATGGAGGCACTATGCCTTGATGGTGGCACTATGCCTTGATGGTGGCACTATGGCTTGATGGTGGCACTATGGCTTGATGGTGATGGATATTTTCAAATTAATTTTAATTTTTAATTTCTAAATTGCTTCTCAAAATCCTATTGTTAAATTTTTAATTCTTTCAAAACTTTCATTCACAAAATTTAAGAAAACATTAAGAAAATTTTAATAAATTTCTCTTTTGTCTTCAACAAAATTGCATTATTATTCTATGCATCATTAACATTTAAATATCATTTTTCAATAATGGTTGTATGCTTTCAAAATATCATTAATATATTAAAAATGTCTTTTGGAAACTTGTATTTATCAATGCTTTAAAAAATATTGAATTTAACAATAAATTTTACAACTGCAAAATTGTAAATAAATTTTATTTCATGGTCTTTGATGGCCCTTAAAAAAATCAACAAATTTACATTTATTGTTATAGATAATAATATAATCTTAAAATTATATTGAATTAATAACTAATTAATTAGTTACTCTGAATACACTGTAAAGTTTAATGTGAATACACTATATATTATTTATTAGTGTATATATTTAATCATATTTATTTAATTTAATTAATGGAAAACTAATTAGTTTATTTTGCGCAGGCAGGGTCGGAAAAGCTACATCAAGGCATCACCTCTGTGAGACAAGCTACATCAAGAATATTATCATCAACTGCACCTAAAGCCCACTCATCAAGTGGCCATACACTGAAAAATATTACATCAAGTGGCCATACACTGAAAATTATTACATCAAGTGCCCATACATCAAAACTGTGTTCATCTCAAGCATCAAAGTATTTTTCATCAAGAGGTAGCTTTGCCAGCACCCATCAAGTGACTGTCATCAAGTCCCCCAAGAGAGCCAAGATTAAATCATCAACTTCATCAATTGATGAGAAAAAGCATCCATCTCATTTAAAATTAGCTGCAAACCATAAAATTACATCAAATGCACCAAGGACCTCATCAACTACACCAAGGACCACATCAACTACACCAAGGACATCAACTACACCAAGGACCTCATCAACTACACCAAGGACTACATCAACTACACCAAGGACCACATCAACTACACCAAGGACTACATCAACTACATCAAGGACCACATCAACTACACCAAGGACCACATCAACTACACCAAGGACCACATCAACTACACCAAGGACCACATCAACTACACCAAGGACCACATCAACTACACCAAGGACCACATCAACTACATCAAGGACCACATCAACTACACCAAGGACCACATCAACTACATCAAGGACCACATCAACTACATCAAGGACCACATCAACTACATCAAGGACCTCATCAACTATACCAAGGACCACACCAACTACATCAAGGACCTCATCAACTACACCAAGTACATCAACTACATCAAGTACATCAACTACACCAAGGACCTCATCAACTACACCAAGGACCTCAACTACATCAAGGACCTCATCAACTACACCAAGGACCATATCAACTACATCAAGGACCTCATCAACTACACCAAGGACTACACCAAGTACATCAACTACAAGAATTACATCAACTCCAAAAAATACATCAAAAACTACCAACACATCAACTACATCAAAAATACTTACTCCCACAGCCACATCAAGACATCTTAAGCCTTCATCAAGAACTACTCTGAGACCTGTTGATGTTGGACTTGATGCTGCCAAAGTAATGGTAAATCAACGGAATTTCATCAATGGTAAACTTGATGGAAGTCCCTGTTCATCAAAAACAATTCCAAATCTCGGAGATTTTGATGTATTTTCTAACAAGGTTGATGAACATTTGAATGCATTTGATGGGAGTATAGGTAACGTTGATGGAAATTTTGATGCTGTTGATGTAGCATTTAAAAGGCTTGAAAAATTTGATGTGGCTGACTCATCTGTTGCTTTAGACGCTCCTGTTGATGATATTGTTGATGTAAAATGTCTTGATGTAATTCTAACCAAAGAATTACTAGAATTTGATGCTGAGGCACCACTTGATGAACCTGTTGGTGATGAAAATATCTCTGAAAACCAAAATTCAACAGACTGCGTTGAAACGGCTTCTGTTGATGACGAAAAAATTCCGTTTTTCAGTGTCGGGAAACCATTTGATGAAACAGCAACTAATAATTTTGATGAAACAGCATCGAAGAATTTTGATGAAACAGTGCATAAAAATTTTGTTGAAACAGCAAATAACAATTTTGATGAAAAAGAAGAAACTTCAATTATAGACACATCTGTTACTGTTTCAACTCCTGTTGATACAAGCGTTGAAGACATCAACAGCCGTGGAGTTGAAAATTTTCGGATTCATCCGCAGAACAGGAAAAGAAAACCCGGAATATTTTATAAATATGTTCCGGGTTGAATATTATATTATTATTATTATATATTATTGATAAAAATTTGAATTTTTTCAGACGTTCTTTCATCACATTCGCATTTTTTAAATAATCGCAATTTGTTTGTCGTAATGGAAAATTTTTATTTTGAATTCAATTCTTTTCTATCGTCATTAGTTCATTTATTTTCATTTAATTTTTTTAGTCTCAAATATTTTTTTAAAGGAGTTTTTTTAATGCAAATTTTGTCCTTGCCGGGTACAGCATTTATTGCTTGCATTAAAAAGGAAAGTTATTTACTGTAATAGGGAGGTTATTTACAAACTGCTTCAGATGATATTGCTGTCTTAGCTATGTGATAATCCTGTACATTCTTATAGGCTAATTTTATGCATATAGCTTTTTTATTATGAGTTTTGGGGTAATTCTTGCGCTTTCTTACCCTAGATATGAGTTTTGGGGCAATTCATGCGATTTTTTACCCTAGATGCGAGTTTTAGGGTAATTCTTGCGCTTTCTTACCCCTAGATTTGAGTTTTAGGGTAATTCTTGCGCTTTTTTTACCCTGGATGTTAGCTTTTGGGGTAATTCTTGCTCTTTCTTACCCTAGATTTGAGTTTTAGGGTAATTCTTGCGCTTTTTTACCCTAGATGCGAGTTTTGGGGTAATTCTTGCGCTTTCTTACCCTAGATAATTGTTGACAAAGGAACCGATTATTTTCCTGACGTTGGTGATATTAGATCAGATGATAATCAATTATTCTTAAATGGATTAGCATATTTTAATTAGTTTCAAGAAGGTTTTACAGGAAATTTGTCGTCATTAAAACTGCTTCTACCACATTTCCGCGACTCTGTTTTCACCGATTGTATTTTTTTTAATTCGATTTTATTGCCCCGTTTTAGTTTTGCCTCCTGTATTTTTCTCCTTATTTCTCACGCTTCTCTTTGTCTAATTTCATTTCATGATCTCCTCCTGCCTTCTCCTTCTCTTCTCTCCCTATTTTACCTCCATTTTTTCTTCATCCATCTTCTTTATCTCGTCCTTATCTTTTATTCTCTAATTCCTTATATTATCCAACACCTCCCATTA